CACAGGCCTCCAACTTGACTCTGCGCCATTCACCACAACCCTCGGAGCTCGGCCATCCAGCCAGTTCTCAATCAACCTCACCGTCCACTCGTCTAGCCCACGCTTCCTGAGCTTACCTAGGAGGATGTGATGGGAGGCAGTGTCAAAAGCCTTGCTGAAGTCCAGGGAGACAACATCCACTGCTCTGCCCTCATCTACCCAGCCAGTCATTCCGTCATAGAAGGCTATCAGGTTGGTCAAGCATGATTTCCCTTTGGTGAATCCCTGCTGACTACTGCTGATCACCTTCTTGTCCTCCAGATGCTTAGTGAGGACCTCCAGGAGGAGCTGTTCCATCACCTTTCCAGGGATGGAGGTGAGGCTGACAGGCCTGTAGTTTCCTGGCTCCTCCTTTGTCCCCACCAAATGCAACAGCTTATCTTTTCTCTTTATGGCAACCTTAACATGTTTTCCACTGTCTTCTCTACTCTAAAAAGCGCCAGTACTTCCCACCTTCTGCATCCGTCCACTGCAATTTCATCTGAGCAGGTGGATTAACGTTTGTTTCCAACTGGACTTTCACTGGAGCTCTGCTAAGTAAAACCATTAAGGGCATGCAATGAATTAACATGCTCTGCACAGCCATATGTGCCATATCCTTTCTTAAATAAATGCCATTACTCTCTAGAAAGTGTTACCCCATCACTAGTGGAACTGCTATGACAACATTTCACCACTGCACCTTTCAAAAGTCTACAAGCAGAGTGACTGAAGTCAGTGAGTTAAACCCAGGCTTTGGATTTCATAAGCTGATATTTTTACCAATTATGTATGTTTTTGTATGCTTTCAATTAAAGAATACATTAATTACTGATATTTCATAGTTAATGTAATGAATTTAATGTAGTAAGTGATAAACAGTAAGCCCTTTTAAAAAAGTCTTGAAAACAGGATTTCTCATTACAGTGTAATGACAAAGAAACAGTCACAGACGTGTCTACTGTATAAATCACACTTCCTGGTTGTTACAAAGTAGGCTTTTTTACGTTTTTGTGGCTGTTTATCATTTCCCAGTTGTATTATTTTCCAGTCAATTCACTACTAAATTAGTTTATTTACATGGTTGCGAAACTGATGCGTAATATTCCTATGAGATATATGCCAAAAGTGTGCACAAAGGGAAGTGCAGAGCCACATTCAACTTTCCCAGGGCATTTTAAACCTCTGTCTGTATTTACATCACATTTACTAGTCACTACAATATGGACTTCTGAACAGAAAGTTGCTCTAATATAATAATATAAACTTCTGAGGTCTACTTTTGGCTCTGATGTTATTTTGCTAAATCAGAGACTGAGCATATCACAGGCAGAAATGTTTAGCAAAGCATCACTTAAGACTGAATGCTTTTAGCCCAATCAATTTTCCCAAGTCAGCACAAAGACTCCATTTTTTGAGCATTTTTCCCCTGATTCCTGAGGAGATGCTGCAGTTCGGAGTTCTACAAAGCTGTATGACAGCCTTTAAAAATGCACAGTCTTCAACGTAGAAAGCATGAGTTTCTACAGCATGAGCTGAGGAGCTGGGCTATTGCAAACGAGCATCTTCTGCAGGCAGAGGTAGGCACGTAAAAGGTGTAACTGATCTAATCTCACACAAGTGTGGTTCAGCCACTTTCCACACCTTCCCCACATAGTGAGCTGAGAACACGTACACGCTCTTCTGAACTTACTTAACCCTTTTAAGAGACAAACACTAAACATTTTGTGGTCAACTGATACTGCCAAAGCAGCAGTAATATCAGCACTCTTATCATGGCTTAACCAGCACACCTTGATACTAACTTTAAGGGATTATCTCCTGGATTAAGAAGAAAGTTGAATATGCAGCACTACTGATATTTTGGATGCTTCTGTGCAGAAGTGATCTGCAGCAGAACATTCCCACGTGGTAACAGACAACTACCTGAGTCATTTTTTCACGGTTGGCCTTAGGATTTAAGGGAGCCTCAGTCAGCAGTACGGGATGTTCTTCTGGTGCAATACGAAGTTCATTATAGAAAGAATGATGCCAAATCTAAAATGAAAGGCCAGTTTAGAAACATGTTCTGGAAAATAACCTGTCCAAATAACAGAACTACACAGAAACCTTTTCAGCTTCAGAAAGCTTTCCAGATACAGCCTCAGTAAATTTTATATAGTTTTATAATTGTATATAATAGATAAAAAATTTTATACAGCATATAAACATATATAAACACATTAAACACGGTAGTTACAGATAAACACATTAAAATAGAGAACAAGTATGGAAGAGCGAACCAGCTGAATTCTGGACTATTTTAGAAAAAAAAATCATTGGGTTATTATTGAATGTCATAACAGAATATAACCTGCACAATGGAGTCCTTCCAATCAGGATTCCCCAAACAGATTATGTATCATCCTCTCTAAATGGGGGCACTTGTCAACACTCAAACCCCGTGTTCTGACACAGAAGCCAGGCCAGGCACCAGATTGTTAGAGCTGGACAGATTTCTCCACTGCAAACTGCTTAGAGACTGAGTTCCAGGAGACTAAGTTTCCTCATGAATGTAAGTTGTAAGCCTCCCCTAAAATGGCCCTTACATAAATCTAAAAATTTGCACAGAAGTGAAAGGCCCTCTTTGCCTCAGACATTTCATTCAGTAAATCTTGAATCAAACTCTCACTCTTTATAGACTAACTACATTTATTAGTCACAGTCTATAAAGTACTAGAGTATTTTTCATGGTGGAAGGTGCTATCTGCATGAAACAACATTGACACAGGGAGGCTCTCACTGTCTAAGGACTATGGCTTTGAGGGACTGGAGGGCTTTTTTTCTAAATGTCAGCTAAAAGACTCCTTGCCTTCTTGTTTAATCCTTACTTACATTTCTTTCTTTCTTTTTCTTTCTTTTTCTCTATTTTTAATTCCAGCATTTTCTGAACTAAGAAACTTGTTTCTGAGCACAAAACATCAGGGATATTTTAATAGGTAGCTTACTTAATAAATATCCTTGAGGTATTATTATACTCCAGAATGAACTTAAGTGAAAAATAATCTTATCTAAACTGAAGCACCTCCAAAGTCTACAGCCATCCACAGATAGAACTATTCATTAAGAAAATTATCAGCCCTGAAAAAGCAAATACCTCTCTATCCCCTAAAAATCAGATGTTTCCAGAACTAGGATTTGGGATGGAGGCCATCTCCCATTTGATATAAGCAGATGAAAAAGATTACAATTTCAGACAGGAAAGAAGTGAGCAAAGGAGAGAAGGAAATCTTACTGCACACATAATTAGAAATTACTGAAGCTTTCTACAGTGAGGAACAATGCAGAACTAATAAAGCAGGACCCTGCCAAAACCTTTATCATTTGGCAGGTGTTTCTCAACATCAGGCAGGATTAGGCACTGTGCAGACTATTAGATCTGATCTAATGATAATTTAAATCCCACCAAAAAAAAAAAAAAAAGAAAGAAAAAAAATGTCCAGTGTTGTTTTTTTGTAGGTTATACGATTTAAATTTAAGTAGCAGGTACAATAGGAAAGAGAAGTTACTGAGGAAGGATTATTCCAAAACTTACATTAAACATTTACGTAGTCATCAGAGCCAGAAAATGCTCCGTTCTAATGCTTGCCCTCCCATACATTATCAGTTCAGTTGCTGTGAACAAATTAATAGTGATGTACAGTGCCCTGCACTATTATCCACTGGAAAACAGAGCAGTCCAAATTTGAATATTGTGAACTGAAGCACATGAGAAGAATAACGCTTCGTTTCATTGCCCGCACAGTCTACTTACGATGCACAAGAACGTCTATGCATCCTGCAGCATCCTCTCTCGCTTTCTCACACATGCACACACACACTCATACTTACTAATTCACAAGTCTAATCTTCTGGTGACCCTCTCTTTTTATAATGCGTGGATGGTTGGGCACTGCGCTATTACGCTTTTGTCTCGTTTTTGGCGCATTGCCCAGTAACTTGTTTCTTCTATATTGTGGTGTTTTTAGTACTGTTATTTCCAAGCCTTTAAAAGAAATTCATGGTTCAGGTCAAAATCATGAAACTGGCTTAAAAATCATGGAAAAATATGTATATATGCATAAAAGATTTTCCCTTAGCATCAAAACTTTAGGAATTGAATTTCAGAACTTCCCTCAGCTAGAAGTGTGTGCGTGTGTTTTACAGAACTGCAATGGAATTTGAGATTTTCATGTAATCTTGTGACTGAATGAATCAGTAAAGCTCATAAGAAAAACATTTTTTCTATATTTGCAACAAAATTGCAAAAGTTAGCAAAGTTGCTCTAGTCTTGCCTCTTTTCTACTGTCTTTCTCTCACACTGCTCCCTCTTATCTCCCCTTTCTTGCTCATTGCTTATTTATTTAAAAGCTGCCTTCACTTTCTGTCCTGCTCTACTCCTAGTCTCAGCAAAAAGTCTAAGCACAATTCAGTTGTGGGGCATTTTTGCCAGCTACTGCATTTTGCCAGCTAAATGTCAGAATAAAGTAAGTTTGGGCTACAGACCCATTTTCACAAGTAGTTCCTTCACCCATTTAAGTGTCAGACTGACAAAAAGAGCAACCTATAAGAACTCATATAATACCTGATAATCACTAGTGAATTACAGCACTGCTTGAAATCTCCGCCTCTGAAATCTCCGCCTGAATCTCCTTGGAGACCCCAGGCCTGAAAACAATCAATCTAGCCATCAGGCTATCTCAACACAGAAAAGCATATGCCACTTTTTTAACCTCTCTGATTCCTTTTCCTGCCTAGATTTGGGATAGTCTCTTCTAGCACTGAGCATTACCCAGAAAGAGACATACAGTTGTGTGTTACATTCGGTATCATATTTAGATGCAGAGACCAACCACTGAGGGAAGAATTGAAAATAGTGTCCTACTGCTTCCCCCTCAACCCTTTTTTGTTCCTTTCTACAAATATACATTCTTGCTGAACGCAGAGAGCAGGATAATTATCAGGAAGAGCAATATAATGGGAAGTATGTGGCAGACTTTCTACTCTGCAGAATAGAGCAAGGTATCCTCCCAGGAAGCAGTGAAATAATGAAATGCAAATGCGATGCTTCCATCTAGAGGAATAGGTGGGCAATTTATTTCCAAACAAAACTGAGGAACTCCCATTGCTTCTGTATTAATTTTAGTCTGTTCATCTGGGACGCTCTGCAATAATCAATTTGGGTTCATGAACATGACACAGTAACTAATCTACGTGACTTTGAGATATGTGTGTTATAATCATATGCATTTCACCCCAGCAAGCATGAACACAAAACACAGGCCCTGTGTCTTCCTTTCAGTGGTATTTCCCCCAGAAATAGAAGGAAATACTAGAAGCATTTGCTTGTGAAGTTTTTCTCCCCACACCCTTCTACCTGGAGATGACAAAGGACGGAACTGCAAATCTGTCTCTAAAGAAGACGTACAATACTTCCACATACAGACTCAGATGCTTGCTCCAAAGATCAGGAAATGTGGGACATCAGAGATACTTTGTAGTGTTATAGTGCCCTTAGGGCTTTTGTCTCTCCATTGTCTGTTAGGACACACCTCACTGCCTGTGCCTGGTCTGGGACATCCTTAAATGGATATTTCATAAAGATAGTGTTATATTGGCAGAGCGCCAAAAATTGTGCTTGATAGGGAATAAATAAGCCTTGTCACCCTCAGAACATTAAATAATAACTGGAACTGGCAAGAGAAAAAACATGCGTCAGGAAAAATCCCACTCCAGACTCTCAAAGAACAAGTATAGGGATAGCAGACCAAACTCTCTCATTTTTTCATCTTTAACGGGCACTGAGAGAATGTCATATACAAGTACAAGACATGGGCATCACTTACGACCTCGTTTGTGTAGGCAAGAAGTAACGAGTGAAAAATCACCCCTCATCTTCACAGTTTTTGTTCCTGACCTAAGTAACACACCTTTAATATTTTTCCAGTTCAACTCTGATGAATCTCAATCTGTATTTTTTACTTTAGCCACTTATCATTGCTCTGCCTCAGCTGGAACTTCAAGACTGATTTACAATATGTATAAAGCATAAAATATTACCATATTCTTTTAGCAGACTGCCAAACCTGGTAAGCAAAAAGCATATTTATATATTTTTTGAAAAAATAACAGCTGTAGAATGCCAAGACCTGATCAACGCCTGGGCTTCTGTAATAGCATACTGTACCTATTCTGAAATTACAAACTCTTCAAGGATTTCTCCTGTGGTTTGCAGGAAGGTTAATAGCAAACTGCATGTCTTATCTAAGATGATGCTTCAACAACATTACATTAAAAATAAACACCTACCTTTTCCATGTCATCCCAGTTAGTGATGATGCCATGCTCAATGGGATACTTCAGAGTTAAGATTCCTCTTTTACTCTGCGCTTCATCCCCTACATAGCTGTCTTTTTGACCCATTCCAACCATAACACCCTGCAAAGTATAATGGTCTAATATTAGCTCTATATTTTGTAGGCTAATACTTCATGTGAAATATTGTATGTGCTACTGTTACTGCCATTTCAGAACATACCTCCACAAAGCCAAACACTTACTCCAAACCAAAATGCAAATTTCCTGATAACCACCTACTCTGTACTAACTCCTCCCATATTCACACTAGGAAGTGCAAGGCAGCTTCTAAAATGAAGCAAGTTATCTCACGCTTGGTGCAACTAATGCCCTTGTAGGAGTCCAGGCAAGGCAGGCATCAGTTAATTCATGCTTTCTCGACAAAAGCTGAGACCTTTGTCATTGTACAAAGATATAAAGCAAATGACTTATAGCCGAAAAAAGATATTTTATAAAAACTCTTTTTTGCTCCCCAGATTTACTTTATGTATTTGGCTACAAATATGTCTAGGCAAATATGTCTAAATTGTTTTTGAATAGCGAGATTTCCCCTTGCTAGAAGACATGCCTAGAACACAGGCAAAATGAAAAACACTTGTTTCTGAAAAAAAATATTTTGCAAAAACTAAACATTAGTTTATGTGGAAAAGAGATTTTTTTAAAAGAAAAAAAATAGCTTATTTAAAAACAGTTTTATTAAATTTATCTTGTTTCCATTAGTGAGTCTATCACGATTACCCCCAAACAATACTACCAACATATCAGGCACAATATTATTCAGCAACCGGCATAGAAATATTTAATTTTCCATGGATACATTTTAGTTCCACGCATTCAATAATAAGGCACTGAGCTGTTTAACTGCGTAAAATTACATGCCAGCTCTAATCGTGAATAAAAGCCAGTGCCAGCCACAATTTTAGAGGTTAAAGAATAGACATGTTTTCAGGAACTGACATTTAACTGTAATAACTCACAGAGGTGTTCAAAATGCATTCTATAAAACGCTTACTATTTTACGCCTGTCAAACCAGGCCTATTTACCTCCTCAAAAGAACACGGGGAACTTGAGGGAAAGATTTCTGCAGCCCAGAAAATTAAAATCTTAGATAGGAATAAGATAAAAATGAAAACCTGCATCTTATAAAGGAACTGTCAGAAGTAATTAAGCAGTAAGACCCTTTCCCAATTCAAGAAAAGGCACATTTATTCTTTTCAGTCCTGAGTTGATGGAGTGATGTGTTTCAGACCTTTTTTGAGAAACTTACTGGGCCCTGCCAGCGCCTAACAGAACAATAAAAGGAACTTATCACAATTATTCATTCGTTGCTTCATGTTAGCAATGCTCTGCCAATCTTATGTTTCCTCTTTATTAATGATTTTCTAGCAAATAAGAGCTATTAGGAGGACTACAAGCCAAAGGACCTGGAATCCAAAGTGCAAATGTTCAAAGATTTTTACAACCAGACACAAACAAAACAGTAACAAAAAAAACCTTTCTAATCAGTGTAATTTGCATGATACTGATGCATTGTTGTGGGATTAGGATTTTCAGTTATTGGCTAGTATTTACAATGGAGGATCATGCAATATTAGAAAGCTGCATATGCACTATTACATTTTTGAAAAAGCCAGCAACTCCCCCAACGCAATCTGCTCTTTATTTAAAAATTTTCTTCAATAAGTTTTTTCCCGTAAGACATCTTCATACCAGCAAAACAGGCTCATGTTCCTCAGCAGTCAACACCTTATAGCTGCAGAACACCTTTTGCAAAGCTTGAGCAGTTTACCTCATAGCATTAAAGACATGCAGCTCAGTCCTCCAGTTCTTAACAAGCTAGATTCCTACAAAGATTGGTGAGAGTTTTGCCTGAATGAGGGTAGTACTGATGTTTTACCACTGCCACATCTAAGTACCAAAAATAAAAATAGCACTATTACTTTGGCACCAACTGACCTGATGTCGAGGACGTCCAACGATGGATGGAAATACAGCCCTTGGGGCGTCATCTCCCGCAAACCCAGCTTTGCAAAGCCCAGAACCATTATCACAAACAAGGGCAGTGGTTTCATCGTCATCGCACATACTGCCTCACAACTTTGGCTGCAAAACAGTTACGTAAGAGAGGTGGGAGGAACGGATGGAAGAGAACAGGACTCTCTATCATCTAGACAGCAAACTACTAAAAATAATGAACCTAAACAGTAAAGTCTATGCTACAGCTGAAATCTTGCAAGTATATTAAGTACTCACATAAATCTCAACTTGAACAGGTCTTTCCTGAAGCAAATTAACCAGGACATTCAGCCTTCATTCTCAAAAGGGAAATCTCTGATGTAGCCTCAAGGAGGCTTGTGACATCCTGTGTTAATTGGCATTGTCACCAAGGGGCAAATTCAGCTAAAGGAGGCATTGCATGCTCATCTCTACTTGGACTTCAGTAGGTGAAACCCCATCTTTTCCAAGGCTGGATCATCTTCTAGATACTTTGTTAAATGTAAAGTAATTATATGCATCTACCAGTTAAAACGCTAGTCCTGCAGACCACTAAAAATTTATAATAGAAATAATTAAATGAAAAAGCCCCCACAACTTCCGTTCCCCTAAATCCTCTTCAGGTTCTCATTGCAGTTAGCTGAAGCACAGTCAGACAAGTTATCTGTTTTGGGAGAGGGATTTGTTTCATTGCTGAGGAGGTCTTTTGGCATCAGTCAATAATAATTACTGAATATTCATTCCTTCAAACATTACATTTGCTCCCTAATGGCATTTTCAAAATTGAGTGTCATCAGTCTTAAACAAACAACTAAAAATAGTCCACACACGGTTTCAGGGAAGTGTTTGTTGTGTGTTTTTAAATGGCAGCTACTCCGCTAAGTGCTCACTACAGGATCCATTCCATATTTGTAAATGGTAAATAGCTTATCAAAGCGGCTATTCTGGGAAATGTTAGAACAAGACATGGCTGGCACAACTGACCAAAACCAACTTAACTTCATCAGTTGGCCAACATATCACATCAAGTCCTGAACTCATTGAAACTGGTGGCAGAACTCCCATGGAGGGAGAGCCTGAATTTCACTGTGACTCCTGTTTCAGATTCCTTTTTTATTTTTAGGGCTGTATGATTGCCTCTTTAGGCAGTCAAGAGGAGGGAAACATTTTCTTTTTCCTTCCCTGGCAACTTCACTCAGTAAGGAAGGCTTTTAGGACCTAAACACCCTATCCCTAACCATGAAAAAAAGAATTGGACTGCTGATGGCATTTCCCTTCCCTTCACTAAGCAAGTGCAACGTATGCGGGCAGGCCCTCAGCAGTGGCAGACAGCCATTAGGGTCCTTCTTGCAACCAACTCATGCTGCCCCATTTGGGGAGTGCGGTTTTTTCCCTCACGCTCTTCAGAGGATCGTGGCAGTAATACTGAAGTCTGTGAAGATTTAAAAATAAGATTTTCTCCTAACAGACAACTGAGTGGTTATTGTCTACCTTGCCCCTGTGGTTCAGGCCTTTCCTGTGCGCTTTAGGAAGCAACATCATGAAACAACTGATCAAAACACTTTTACATGAAATGGAAGTCAGAAATGACACTGAAATAAGAGTAATAATTTTAAGTCCTGCTGATCTGCCTGTAACTGGATGATTTGTTTTCTCACAAGGAAACAGAATCATTTTATCACCTAGAACTGTTAACACATTTAATTTAGGAATGTTTAACTATTAGTTCTAGTAGCAAGTGTTTCTGAACATTCATTCAATTTTTCCATGCACTGTTCGTTATTTCCTTCTAAACCACTAAGGAAAAAGGCTGGTAGAATGCAGTAAGTCATTTACCAGCATTATCCAACATTAGAGTTGCATCCAGCTTCTGACTATCGCAGTGTAAATCTTAACTGAAAGAAATTAAGTTCTTAAAAAGAAAAAATGCAAAAATTCTGTAAGATGCTAGAATTTAACAGCAGAGGAATTCCACCTCTCCCACAAAGCTCTGATGGCTCAACATCACTCCTTGGCTCTAAAGAAACCGGGGTAGGACAAAGATGTTTAATCCTACATGCTGAGAAGTAATGCTCCTATTCATATCTATGCACAAATAGTATTTTATATGTATCTTTGTATGCAAAACTAAGGTCACAGCCATACTGAAAGAAACAAAATTCAAAGGGAAACCTCAGCTGATTTTTACAAGTTACACTTCTGAGTGCTGGGAGTGGTTCCATTTAATATTTAATTTAATATTGCTTAGTTTCCAGAGAAGCCACTGAAACTTAAAATAAAATAATAAATAAAATCAATGGCTGAATTTGTTCAAGTTAAAAAAAAAAAAACCCTTTGCATATTATTACACAATCATAAGGTAAATTAACTGATTAAGAGTACTACTTAAAAAAAAAAAAACCAAAACCAAAAACAAACAAACCACCAAACACTTCCTAGATTGAGTCATGTTATGTTTTAAAGTTGCTGAATTTTTAGGCTTAATCATTTTCACATAGCAGCTATTTTGACGTCTTTTTTCAGATATTTACTGCTTAGCAAATTATTATGTTTATGTAGTTTTACCATTCACAACTGATACCTGAATCATCTATTTCTAATATAATTACATATCAAAAAATAAAAATTTAGGCCTTAAAATCTTGCAAAAACCTTTCCTACAAAAAAACCCCCATCCCTCCCCCCCCCCCACCCCCCCTCCCCGAAATTCACAGGGTCATCCATTTTCAAGACTGCATTCTTCTTACAAAATACGATGTACGTCGTCTTCTGGTACAAAATGCTGCAAGAAAACTAGATGCAACAGAATAAATTAGAGCGCACCTTGCACTCCATCATTACTTTTTTTCTGTTGCTGCTGCTCGTAACTAGCTGTTCTGTTTACATGCATCAGTTCTTCGAGGTTTCAGACAGATTAAGAAGGTTTCATTGTACATGACTACTCGTTTGAGTGATGAGAAAGCTCTGCAACATTTCACTGCAATGATGACGAACCTGAATCACCTTATGTTAGGAGTCCCTTTGGAATTACTTCAACGGCTGAGGCAAGCAGTATCCAAGCCCACAGTTTAGAAAGAGCAAAAAAAGCATATACATCCCTGGGAGATCTCAGACCAAGTTCTGAGTAGAGTGAAGCTTTAGAATAATGAAGTATAACATGAAAAAATCTCAGGGTAATACTTACCCAGGAAAATGGTGATGATTTCTAAAAGCCTCTTTGTAAATGAAATGATCTCACCTTCCATTACATTTATATCAGCTTCTGGAATGGAGTTCACAGAATATCTACATGTGTCGAGCCATTTTTGGAAACATTTTTTTTCAGCTTGTGCTTATCACAGTGACAGTATAAAGGCCTGGATAAATTAGGGCAGAATTTCTAACAACTCTGGATCCTTTCCCACTTACTAACTTGCTATGCCTCATGACAGAGGATTTTTTCTCCCCTGAAGACAAAAAACCCTCACACTAGATGAGTAAGACTGGAAAGATTTGTAGGTCCATTGCTGTCACTGGAAAGCATTCTGCTTTGTTGTAACACAAATAGCTAAAAATATCTCATTATCATTCTCTTAACAGCCATCTATAAGCTGTTACTAATTACAAAAAGAAAAGTCTTACCATGTACAGTACTCATGTTTCAACTGTAGGTTATTTGGTTGCGTGACTGAAAATAGCTGACTTATCTTAATATTTGGGCAACACTATAAACTGAAAATAGGGACTGAATCAGCAATAAGTCATTCAGAAGAGATGAGCAACAACTATTTTCCAGCTGAAAGATATCAATTATATAGGAATATATTGGATTTATATAGCAATCCAGACCTTTACTAGACTAAGAAATACTGAAGAGCAAAATACTGAAAAGAGAAATACTGACACTCAAAAGGAGCAAGCTTACAGGACCTATCTAGAATGGTAACAGAGGCTGGCAATATTTCCCCATTCCACGTGACAAAAGCAAATGATGCAGAACATCAGACACAATTGAGTAAATGTTAAACTTTGCAAATGTCAAGGGCCAATCAGTCCCTCTTTCCCACGTTATATGACTGTGCAGCAGATCTCATACACAAGAAATCCTGGACCTTAAGCAGATAATTCACTTCATTAACATCCACTCAAACCGTTCCATCTATTCCTTGTATTTGCCCATCAGTGAAACTGCTAGACTTCTTTCATTTCCATACTCAATAAATATAGTCCTCACATTGTATTTCTGAGGACAGAAAACCAAATCTGTTACAGTGCCATAAATTTCGAAGTTCTACATCGTGAGAAACAATTCTGAATAAATATAGTACTTTAAGAATATTGGTTTTCAATAAGGAGTGTAAGAGCAAAGAACCGAGAAAAGTTAAAAATGAGGACTATTATATAATACAAAAGGCTGAGCCTGACCCTGAATCCTCGGTGTAGCAAAAGTCATACACTAAATTAAGTTTTGTTCTCATGAGGTGCTACATGCGCTATTCATTAGGACACAGCTTTCGTTGCACCGAAACATACACATCGAGTAACCATTCTCTCAGATAAGAAAAGAATTAGGGAGTACTTGACGTTGCATTCTGGAAGAAAAAAAAAAAAGCAGAGATTTTAGTTTGATTTTTTTAGTTATAGCTAGGTCAATATTCCCAGGTATAAACCCGGAAGTTCCATACATGAAAACATCACAGTAAGGTGCAAGATTCAGAAGGCTGGAAAAGGAATCCCTAATTAACTCTAAATTGTACTAGATAGGACTTATTGGCCAGCATTCCCTTAGGTGTTTGCATTGCTGTGAGCTTTAGAGGAAATACAAAAATATTAGTTGATTCTTTTTACACTGATCATCTGAAAAACTAATCTGTCTCTTATTTATATGAATCGCAGTATTTCCTCCTCTTCCTTTTTAGTGACTTTCCAATCAGATAAACATTTAAGTATAACACAACATATGACCTCCACTAGTTTATTTGTTGGCTTTCTCTGAAACTTTAATCTGAACTCTCCTAAATAAAATATTAAAAACACAACTTGTGTCACTGTTTCAGGGGCTCAGTACACCAACATTCAATTCAGGTGGTACTTAAAAGCAATCTCACTTATCTTATATGGTGTGAACAACATACTATAGCTAATAAATACATTTTGTAAACTTCAAAGCAACAAAAAGGGGGTAAGAACATTACTGGTGCAACAACGTGAAAAAGCATAGAGGTGACTGCAGTCAAGAAAATAGTAAAACTGATTTGATAGATTAGAGCAGCATATAAAAAAATATATCCCTAGTCATTAACAACGCAGTGTGGAATGTTATATTAAAAGACTGTTCAGATCCCAGAAAAAGTGCCAGCTAATATTAGCCAATTTACATTTTCATGAAAAAAACGTTCCTTCATTGCTGAGAATAGGCCTGCTTTATAAGAGATAACGGGTAAAGAGCGAAATCATGATGGAAGAACAAGACTACCGATTATTCAACAAGTACAGGGTGTAGAAACGGCATTCTAGCTCCAGTCACCACAGTATTCACAAGTAAGCTATTTTTGGAATCAAATAGTTGTGCAGTTTCAGAGAACTAATGCTCCATTAGGTGTCTACAGAAACTGAAAGCAAATCCTCTGGTTCTTATGACCTCTGAGTTGAAAATGTACCCTGTATTCATTTATATTAAGAAGGTATCTTGCAACCTAGACATGCACAACATGTAAGGTTATATCTTTATAAGCTTGAATGTTGTGTGTTGAGCAGTCGTGTAACGGTTTTCCCCAAAGATAGGCAGTAACTAAACCTACCAAAACTACAAGAAGTAGCTATTATAAATAAAATAAAAACCATAAGAAAAGTTACAGAAAGTGCAGTTTGAAACAATAGTTTAGGAATATAAGAAGTTTAAGACATTTATTCATGTCATCTCAATTTTGTTTCTTTACTGAAGCTTGATCATTGGCTTTTCTCATTAACATATACATAGCCGTGCACCTTGTCAGCACTGCAAACTGCAAGAACTTGCACTTCACATAGCCACAGAAGAACATTCACTTCTTAAACTTTTTATTTTCAGTTGAAAGAAAACCCATCAAAAATCCAGTTCTTCTTCCTTTATTGCACTCTGTAAAACTTCTTGTTATAATCAAGAAGCCAATAAACAGTAATAGCTGAATATTCCTTTAAAATTTATAGTTTAACTCTTAAAATAAATTTTATATAGAAAAGATACCATTTACAACCCATTCAGTAGTAATCAATCATTATGTACTCACAGACAACATTAAATTTTCTTGTATGCAGCAGTTCCTTTATAGGGCAAACAGAGGGGAATATTTTCTCCTTAGCAAATATAATATTCCACTGTTAAAGAGCAATTCAAGTCACCTTTGGAGCATCTGTGATATACACAAATTTCTTATAAGAAGCTCAAGACTCACAGAGTATAACAGGAATATATACAACTGTGTCCAGTGCATAGCTTAACAGCAGCATGTGATAATTCTACCGTCTTGAATTGGCACACCATTACCTATAGGAAAATAATTTACCCAGAAAATGCAGTGTATTTAGAGAATGCCAGTGAGGCACAGTAAAACAATAATATGTAATGTCACTAGGTATGTAAGGAACAAATAGCGGGATTTTGCTCTGGAAGTCAGCAGCTTAGAACAGTAAAGACTTCGCCCTCGAAGCCATCTTCTGAAGGAAAGGGCTCCTC